GTTGAGCCGAAAGGATCAGCGATGCAGTTTTGCCGCAGGGTTGAACTACCCAGAGGGTCCATATCTACTACCATTAAGGCACTGGCCCAGAAAGGTCATCCTTGTTCTTGGTGTTTGCAGTTCAGAATCAGCCGGCAAACTCTGCGTGAGGTCGAGGATGTGGAAGTATTTATCAGCCATTCCTGGTCGGCTGACCGGTGGGAAAAATACTTGGCCGTGTGCTACTTTCTGAACCGCGATCGATTTGAGGATAAATAATATCTCATCTGGGTGTGGACTCGTACACCCTAAACCCATAAGCCGACATGTGCCACTAGTTCCCGCCTTTTTCTATGGTAGTTTCAGTATTTATGTCTCGCCGAGAATTCAGGAACTTGGGCTTGGCAGCGAAGGCAATGACAGCGTGGCTCGTGGTGGTCGCAGGCATCGTGTTAGCTGTTCCTGCACTGTCCATCCACATGATGTTCGTGTTCTCGTTGGATGTCCCGGTTGTAACATTCATTTTGGTCTTCTTCTTTGGCCAGCACCTCACTTGCGGAGTTTGGGGTCCTCGCTTCTGGGTGGACAAGCTCTGCGTGGACCAAACCGATGAGGCAACGAAGTCTGCAGGGATCGCAGCCTTGCCCACGTTTGTGGCGAACTCTTCTCAAATGCTCGTCCTTTGGGACAAGTCATACTACGAACGGTTCCTTTCTGTCAAAGCGGACACACATTCTGAACGGATTAGAGCAATAAACTTATTTGTACGAACTTTTGTGTTGGAAAAACTGCTTCCATTTGTGGTTCTTCCATCAACAAGGCTCTGGTGCAACTTTGAACTGTCGATTTTCGTGAAAAGCCACGGTCTGAAGAGCTTGCGGTTATTGCCACTGTGGCTCACTCCGTGGCTGCTGACGACGATGTTGCTCTCATATATTTCAGCTCGGCTCCTCGCTGTCTTCACCGAGTTGGGTGATCCTGGCAATCTTATGAAGTCGGCAATTGGTGCCAATGCGCTTGCAGTTCTATTGCAGCGATTGCGCGAATATGCCGTG